ATTTCCAGGTTATGAGCTGTCCAAGCTGGAGAGCACCGTGGGCTCCCCGGAGAAGCCGCTCTCGGACCTGGGCAAGCTCAGCTACCGCAGTTACTGGTCCTGGGTGCTGCTGGAGATCCTCAGGGACTTCCGGGGGACCCTCTCCATCAAGGACCTCAGGTAGGACCAGTATAAACCAGTACAAACCAGTATAAACCAGTATAGACCAGCATAGACCCAAAAACCCCCATAGAAATGCATAGGGACCAGTATAAACCAGTACAGACCAGTATAGAACCTGGGCCTGGGAGATCCTCAGGGACTTCCGGGGGACCCTGTCCATCAAGGACCTCAGGTAGGACCAGTATAAACCAGTATGGACCAGTTCAAGCCAGTATGGACCAGTATAGACCCAAAAAACCCCATAGAAACCAGTACAGACCAGTACAGACCAGTACAGACCAGTATAGAACCTGGGCCTGGGAGATCCTCAGGGACTTCCCTGTCCATCAAGGACCTCAGGTAGGACCAGTATAAACCAGTTTAAACCAGTACAGACCAGTATAAACCAGTATGGACATAAAAACCCCCATAGAAATGCATAGGAACCAGTACAGACCAGTACAGACCAGTACAAACCTTGGTACTGGGAGATCCTCAGGGACTTCCGGGGGTCCCTGTCCATCAAGGACCTCAGGTAGGACCAGTACAAACCAGTACAAACCAGTATAGACCCAAAAAAACCCATAGAAATACATAGAAACCAGTACAGACCAGTACAGACCAGTACAGACCAGTACAGACCAGTACAGACCAGTATAGAACCTGGGCCTGGGAGATCCTCAGGGACTTCCGGGGGACCCTGTCCATCAAAGACCTCAGGTAGGACCAGTATAAACCAGTTTAAACCAGTATAGACCAGTATAAACCAGTATGGACATAAAAACCCCCATAGAAATGCATAGGAACCAGTACAAACCAGTACAGACCAGTACAGACCAGTATGGATCCATAAAACCCCATAAAAGCAGTGTAAGGCAGTGGAGGGCACTAATGGTCAGTGGTCACTCAGGGGTCACTCAGGGGTCACTCAGGGGTCACTCTGGGGTCACTCCCGTGGGTCAGTGGTCACTCTCAGTGGTCAGTGGTCACTCAGGGTCACTCGGTGGTCACTTGGTGGTCACTCTCAGTGGTCAGTGGTCACTCTCAGTGGTCAGTGGTCACTCTCAGTGGTCACTCAGTGGTCACTCTGTCCAGCCAGATGACCAGCATCACGCAGACTGACATCATCAGCCCCAGTGCTCAGTGCCGTGGGCTCAGTGGTCACAGTGGTCACTCTCAGTGGTCACTCTCAGTGGTCAGTGGTCACTCAGTGGTCACTCTGTCCAGCCAGATGACCAGCATCACGCAGACTGACATCATCAGCCCCAGTGCTCAGTGCCGTGTGCTGTGTGCTCAGTGCTCACAGTGGTCACTCGGTGGTCACTCTCAGTGGTCAGTGGTCACTCCCGTGGGTCAATGGTCACAGTGGTCACTCGGTGGTCACTCAGTGGTCACTCTCAGTGGTCAGTGGTCACTCGGTGGTCACTCTCAGCCAGATGACCAGCATCACGCAGACTGACATCATCAGCCCCAGTGCTCAGTGCCGTGGGCTGTGTGCTCAGGGGTCACAGTGCTCACTCAGTGGTCACAGTGGTCACTCGGTGGTCACTCTCAGTGGTCAGTGGTCACTCTCAGTGGTCAGTGGTCACTCTCAGTGGTCAGTGGTCACTCAGTGGTCACTCTCAGCCAGATGACCAGCATCACGCAGACTGACATCATCAGC